CGGCATGGCGGCAGTGAGCGGTGAGGGGACGGAGGCGGACTCGGATGGGGGCAGTGAGGAACTGGTGCTTACCCCGGCGCAGCTCATCCGCAGCCTGGAGCAGGTAGTGTGGGCTGGGGAGAGCGGCTGAGTGCCGCGCCTCTGGGCTCCCTGGGGAGATCTGGGGGCGACTGAAAGCTGGGCCCCGGGCTCTCTGGGGAAGATGTGGGGCCGGGCCCCTCGGCTTGCCGGAGGAGGGGGGGAGGGCTGAGTTTCTGGTCTCTCTTGAGGCTGGGGCGTATAGCAGGTGCGTTCCTCGCTTCTACTTACAGTGTGCCTTCTTTCAGGCCTGGCTGAATGAGAAGTTTGCCCCAGAGCTGCTGGAGAGCAAACCTGAGATCATTGAGTGTGTTGTGGAGCAGCTGGACCATATGGTAGGTTCTGCTGAGCTAAGGTGGTGGTACAGGCAGGCCCTGGTTGCCTAGCCTGGCAGATACATGCTTGGGTCCCTCCCTTGCCAGGATTGTCTGCTCCTCTGTCCCTGAGATGAGGCTGTTCTGAGTACCTTCTTTGAGCTTGTCTTGGAGAGGGGACTGAGAGATATAAGGAAACAGTGTGCTTTGTGTCACCAAAAGCAGCTGCAGACTGTTTTTGTGGGCCCTATGTACAAAACCCATCTTCCTCTCTGTTTCTTTTTGTTTGACATTTCAACCATTTAATTTCTCTTTGCCTTTCCTTGCAGGAGGCAAACCTGAAACGGGCAAAGAGAGGAGACTTGAAGGTCAGTGTTCACCGCATGGAAATTGAAAGGATCCGTTACGTGCTCAGCAGCTACTTGCGATGTAGGCTTGTGAAGGTAATACTTGCTTGTGCTGCCCAGGGGATGGAAGAGGGTGACTTCAGGAGTGATTTTTATCCATACAAGGCCTCCTGCTTCAGGAAGGCACTTAGTTAAAGCGCACTCTCTCTCTCTGTGTCCTCCGAAGTGCAACCCAAAGGAATTCATTCCTTGGACACACTTTTCTGTTATGATGAGGCAGGATCACAGCATTGCTATGAGTGTTTTCCTACCTCATCTAAGCCCAGGATGGCACAACTGAATGCTGGCATGTTCTGTCTGAGTCCTGCCACGTACACAGATGGTTGTGCAGCTTGGAGACCCCAGCTGACCATACTGCTATTAATTCGGGAGCAGATATTTGGGCAGGCCTGTGGCTGCTGCATACATCTGTACAGCAGTGCACCGCTGCTTATAGGGGAAGCCTCTGGGGAGTGGGTATTGTAGGCACTGAACTACTGGGAGCAGTCTGTTACAGTCTTTGGGATTTTGTTCCAATATCAGATAGAGAAGTTTTTCCCCCATGTCCTGGAGAAGGAGAAGTCTCGAGCCGAAGGGGAACCTTCCATTCTATCACCAGAGGAGTTTGCCTTTGCTAAAGAGTGAGTAGGTTTTGGATGCATCTCCCTTCCTTTTTATAGGTTATAGAACTCGCCCGTGTGTTACGCTGAACAGTTCTGTTCAGCCTTACTGTTAGCCTTAGACAGGCTTGCAGTAAGAATCACGGGTCTTACCGGGAGGTTTCCTTATGGACAAGGAAAGAGGTGAGCCAGTTACCAGGGCAAACCATTAGGCTTGTCTCTGACCATGCCTGTGGGACCAGGAGATGTATGTCGCTTGCTGGCGTTTTGAGTCAACGATCTCCCTGCAAATTTGTATTTGATTAAACCAGTAAATGCTCCAATGATTTGTTTCAGGTACATGGCAAACACAGAGACTTACCTGAAAAATGTGGCCCTAAAACACATGCCGCCCAACCTGCAGAAAGTCTCTCTCCTAAAATCAGGTAAGTACATCCAGACTCCAGGGTAATCTGAAAATTATAGCAGCAGGGGTGTGGGGAAAGCTCTGGGGAGCATGCAATGTTAAGGGCTAGTCCTCCAGCTGGCGCTCAGTAGAAGCAGGGATGATGGGATGACAGTGTCGTAACGCTGCTCTGCTCTGTGGTACGTGGCTTGATGTTGCTGTCCTGCGGCGCTGCTGTCAGAGGATCGTGCTGCCCCCTGCCATCGAGTCTTGTCTAGTGTGCACTTGAGGCAGTGCACGCTACATCTGATCAAAAGTGTCTAGCGTGCCCTTTACTGGCCATGAGTTTGCTGTCCCTCATACCCCTCTGTTAGCTCAGTGTCCTGCAGAGGAACATAAGCGAGTGCTGAGCTTGTGCTCTGGGTCCGTTGTCTGCAGTTCCAAAGCCCAACCTAGACTCCTTTGTGTTCCTGAGGGTGTTGGAGCGACAGGAGAATATCCTGGTCAAGCCAGAGACAGATGAGCAGAGGTAGGTGGGCGCTTCCCCACGCGGTGCACATAAATAAGTTAGTTTCGCAAAAGTGGTGCGGGTTAAAGCGAAGCAGGAGAGGCAGCTTAACTTCCATCTCTGGCAGAGAGTACACCATCGACCT